CGCCTCCCCCACCCATCGAGCCCGCCAAGTTGCCCTTCAAGGAGCTGGACAACCAGTGGCCATCTGAGGCCATCCCTCCGGCCCCTCATGGGCGTGATGAAGTCACCAAGGAGTTTATGGAGCTGGCCAAGGAACGGGGCCAGTGGCGCCGGCCCCCAAAGAAGCGGCATGAGGACCTAGTGGCCCCTTTGGCCTCCCCCGAGCTCTCACCATCCCAGCCCCTCTTCCGGCCCCGCTCGGAGTTCGAGGAGATGACCATCCTGTATGACATCTGGAACGGTGGCATTGACGAGGAGGACATCCGCTTCCTGTGTGTCACCTATGAGCGGCTGCTGCAGCAGGACAATGGCATGGACTGGCTGAATGACACGCTCTGGGTCTACCACCCTTATATCCTGCCAGGCATGGGTCCTCACCCTCTAGCCTTCAGGCAGCCCTCACCTGCCCTTGGCCCGTCTCCCACTGCAGCTGTCCCTGTGCCCGTGAGGGCAGTCTCAGCGGTCACTGTCACCTACTAACCAGCACTGGTGCAGCACCTGCCAGGCTGAGCTGGGTGGCCACCGGCACTTTTAAACGCTGTGCCAGGGACTAGGGACTTAGCTCAGTGGTTCTGCCGCTTGCCTCAAAAGCTGAAGGACCCGAGTTTGATCTACCAAAAAAACAAAACACTGCACCAGGCCCGTCTCATCCTGGAGTTAGCATAGCCATTGCCACCAAGTAGTCCAGAGAGATGGGGCCATTAGGAGTCCCTCCCTCTGCCCCACCCCCCTTTTATTTCCCCGGTACCAGGGATCAAACTCAAGACCTGGTGCTTATGAGGCAGGTGCGTTGCCACTGAGCTACGTCCCTGGCCCAGGATTCACATTTTACAGAGAGAGAAACACTCAGGGAGGTTAAATGACCTGCCCAAAGTCATAGCTCCAGAGTGGCAGAGCTGAGATTCGAACCCAAGTAAGTCTGGCTTTTAGAATCTGGGCTCTTACCTACCAAGCACCCTGAGGTTGAAGCCAGCGCCACCCCCATTATAGCAGAGCAATTTATGGAGCGTTTATTACATCCCAGGACATCTTCCAAGTCCCCCAGGTGTATTTGGTCATTCATTGAAAGGAAGCATTGCCCGATGTGGCCCGGTGTCCAGGCGGGAGACAGGCAGGGTGGGCAGCAAGCTGGTGACTGCCCATGGGCAGCCGCGTGGAGGTGGCAGAGCAGTGGGTGGGTGCTAGGCACTGGCGTCCCTGGAAACCGGTCTGAGGGTGGGGAGGGTGCGGGCGGCACCAGGGGCTCCTCTGAGAATGTCTACGTGGCCCTTGACGCACGCCCACCCACCAGCCTTTCTTCTGCTAAGAAAAAGAAGCGGGACGATGGCATCCGCGAGCACGTGACAGGCTGTGCCCGCAGTGAGGGCTTCTACACCATCGACAAGAAGGACAAGCTCAGATACCTCAACAGCAGCCGTGCCAGCACCGATGAGCCCCCTGCAGACACCCAGGTCCGCGGCTGGCCGAGTCCTGGGGTGGTGTGCAGGGCCCGAGGCAGCTGAGGTTTCCAGGGCATTAGTTTTTTGGGTTTTTATGTCCCCCAATTCCACAAACATCTGTTGAGTACCTGGCCTTGTTTTGTTCAGGGCCTGTAGTAGTGAGCAGAGTGGTTTTCCTTGGGGGACCCACCATAGTGGGGCAGGAAACAGTCAAATGAGCAAATAAGCAGGTCACTCAAGGGCCTAAAGTCGCTGCAGAGACTAGAGATGGGAGGAGCCTTTGGGCTGAAGGGAATTAGGAGCCAGAGTGGAAGGAAAGGGAGAATGAGCCACATAGATGACCCGGAAAGACGCGGGGGGAGAAACAGAAAAGGACCTCGGTTAAGTGAAGGCAAGCTGTGTGTGGTGGCTCATGCTGTAATCCCAGAAGTTGGAAGGCTGAGGCAGGAGGATCAGGAGCCACAGGCCAGCCTGGGCCTCATAACCCAGACTCTGCCTCAAAAAAACAAAACAGAAAGTGAAGGCAGGAGAGTAGCTTCTCAAATCCAGTAGTTCATGTTCACAGGAAGCATCCTGAGCCAGGGCCCTGGGGCAGGGGAGTGGGGTTTCCATGGGCTGAGAAAGGAAAAAGCAGTTCTGTCCAGAGGCAGAGGACAGGCTGAGGGTCCTGGATCCAGGGTGATGAGGGTAAATGTGGTGTTCGCTATTTTTTCACTAAGTGACATCGTTGTCCAGGCTGGGCTTGCGCTTGTGACCCTCCACCTCCCAGAGTGCCAGGCTTGAATGTGCTCCTCCACCCCCAGCTGGTGCCAGCCAGGGGAGGGTGTAGGGTCCAGCTGTGGTTTTCCAGGTCAGCCGGCAGCCAGTGGAGTTGACCACAAGGGTCTAGAGGGGTGAGCGGTACTGTTGCTGGGGTCTCCAGGCCAGCCCCGGCCGTGGGTGAGACTTAGGTGGCTGGGAGAGGGAAAGTGGGTCACGAAAGGACGTTAGGAAGTTGGGGCTCCACCTGGGGAGCTCTGGGGACCAAGGAAAGGGCAGAGGCCAGGAGATGAGAGGGCTGCCGCGGTGATCCTGTGACCCGTGATCCCGCAGGCCGTAGGTCAGGTGGCCCTGAGTGTGCCGGGAGCTGAGGCTGACACCGCCATCGCGGATGTTTAGCTGAGGAAAAGTGCGCTGTGCGCTTCCCGTGAGAAGAGCCGGGGTGCGTTGGCTGCAGATGGGCAGGAGGATGCGGAGAAGAGCCCTGGTGGGGGAGGGACAGGCCAGGGCCACCAGGGCGCCCCTCGCTGACCGGCCCCGCTCCGCCCCTGCCGCAGGGTATGAGCATCCCCGCGCAGCCCCACGCCTCCACCCGGGCCGGCTCCGAGCGGCGTTCGGAGCAGCGCCGCCTGCTGTCGTCCTTCACTGGCAGCTGTGACAGCGACCTGCTCAAGTTCAACCAGCTCAAGGTGAGGCCAGGCCCCTGACGGGGCAGTCAGGGCGGCGGGGGCACCAGAGACCAAGCCTCACCCCTGCGCCTCCCCTCCCGCAGTTCCGGAAGAAAAAGCTTAAGTTCTGCAAGAGCCACATTCACGACTGGGGCCTGTTCGCCATGGAGCCCATAGCGGCCGACGAGATGGTCATCGAGTACGTGGGCCAGAACATCCGCCAGGTAGGCGCTGCCCGACGGGAGGGGCCGGGGTGGGTTCAGTGCCAGCCCTGCTGACCACGTCCTTCGGGGCCAGGTGATCGCGGACATGCGGGAGAAGCGGTATGAGGACGAGGGCATCGGTAGCAGCTACATGTTCCGGGTCGACCATGACACCATCATCGATGCCACCAAGTGTGGCAACTTCGCGCGCTTCATTAACCACAGCTGCAATGTGAGTGCACAGGCTGGCCGGCCATACTGCCACTGCAAGGGACTCCCCCGGAGCCCCAGGCACAGGGAACCAGGCCCACCAGGCCCCCTTCCTGGCTCGGGTCCCCTGGGGATAACAGGAGGGACATGAAGGCCATATAAGGAGCTCTTGTCAGTTGGGCGGGTGGTGCATGCCTGTAATCCCAACACCCAGGAGGCTGAGGCAGGAGGATCACCGGAGTTTGAGGCCAGCCCTTGCTGCATAGTAAAGTAAGACCCTGCTTCAAACAACTACAAAACAGGGCTAGGGATTTAGCTCAGTGGCACCATGCCTGCCTCACAAGCACAAGGTCCAGAGAGTTTGATCCCTAGTACACACACACACACACACACACACACACACACACAAAAACCAACCAAAAAAAAAAGGAGCCTTTGTCCTGTGAGCTCCAGGGTCTGCTCTGTAAAACAAGCTCCCTCAGTCTTGTGCAGCTGTGGTGCGGATTAAAGGTGCTTGGGAAATCCCTAGTGGTGACCCATGCAGGGCTCTTCCAGGGTGGTGGCATTCTTGTCACCTATGCCCTGTCTGTGTGGACTGACCACATAGGATGTTCACCCAGTGTAACCGAGGAATGGAGCTGGCACCGCAACCTAGGAGTTCTTACGGGACAGCTGCACCAGATCCTCAGTGTGTCAGCTGTTCAGACTGTACCCCTCTGCAGTCCGGTGATCAGCAGCGTCTTGAGAGCTCAAGAGCAGAGGGCAGAGCTGGGGTGGCATAGGGGGCGGGGCTGTGGGGAGGATGTTGGGTTAAAAAACTGCAGAGCGGGGCCAGGGATTTAGCTTAGTGGTTCTGCCAACTGCCTTGCAAGTACAAGGGCCTGAGTTCAATCCCTGGTACCAAAAAAAAAAAAAAAACAGGATTGACGGCAGCACAGTA